TTCCAAACTTTTCTTTTCGACTTCCAATACAGTTAGACGAGTTTTTAATTCATTATTTTCAATAGTTAATTCAACAACTTGTTTTTCAAGACTATCCATTCTCATACTTTTACGTTGTCGACTTCTTCTTGCTGCATCGGTATTTCTTGCACGTTTTCTTGCCAACTCTTCAGCAATTGTTTGTGGATCTTTAACAACTGAATTATTATTAAATGGTCTTTTATGTGAAGATGATGGACTCTTTGTTGGAATTTTGGCTTGTCCTGAGGTAGAAACAGTCTTTGTTTTAGTGGTGGGCGAAGTTATTGAACATGATGGTCCAACCAAACTTGAGTCCTGTGGAGAAGAATATGATGATGATGATGATGATTCATTGGGTTCAACTTTTACAACTGCGTCCTGTAAATTAAAATCCATTAAATATTAAGATGATTTTACCAAATAGTTTGTCAAAACTTTTTCTTTGTTAAAACTTTTTTCAATAAATTGGATCATTTAAAAAGAACATACCAAATTCATTGTAATTTATTAGACATTGGCTCGTAATTTTCGAAAAAGAAAACTCATAGAATGCGACTTAAAAGTACGCAAGTTTAGTAAATAGCATGCTAAGTGTCAGCAATTATGACTTAATCGTATAATTATGATTCAACAAAAATAATAACGATAAATCATACTTTTTTTTTTGATCTACGGCAAATTACGGAATAATCCTTCGTAAGACGATCAGATCTATAGATTATCATTAAAAAAACTCTCCGTGACATAAGTTTTTCGCGTCGTTTCGCGTCTCGATCAAAAAAAAAAAGAAAACGATGACCTCAGAAACAAACATTGTTCAGGCTATCAAAGAACAACCTTCTAGCAATAATGTTGTCGAGGATTGTAAAAGCAATGAGATGTAAGTGTATGATTGACTCGCTTTTCCTAATTCTTTTTTATTAAGAAAAAAAAAAAAATGTTCCTTCTTAAATTAAAAGGAATTCGATGGCCACATTGTTACAAAGCAGTATCCAAGGAGTGCAAAATTCTTTCAGCACTGTCTACGCCGTATGTCTTTGCCTTATTAATTTTTGTTTATTGATTTTATGATGAATAATTGATGACAAATATTATTTTAATAAAAAGACATTGGCTTCGAATTTGAAACAATCTCTTGAAATGACACAGACCATGAATTCAGTGATGGAGCAATTTTTACTATCAAACCTTCGAATTAGTTGGTATCTTTATTCTAATTATGAGAATTTTTTTAATTCGCATTGGGCTAAGTCTTTCTTTATTTTTCTTTAAGCTTCCAATATATCACCAATTCACGAATTAGAAGCGCGAGTAGAGAAGTTTACTCCTAGCTTATTAACTATCACAATAACTAATTCCGGTCAATTTCCTATACCAAACGTGTCATGTGATTTAACCTTTGGAAAGAAAGGTTATCAAGAGGTACAAATAAGGATTCAAATATAATTGATAATAACACAACCACCTTTTGGATCTAATTACAGAATTATTTTTTTTTTTTAAAAAAAAAAAAAAAAGCATGCAAACGTAGAACTGAATTGCGACGAATCTATAAAATGTGAAATAACGAAATCTGATTCCATGTATGATCATTAATGAAGGAGATTCATGAATGAGAAATTTTTTTAAATGACGTGTTTATTTTTCCAAAAATAGAAAAACACCAATCTCTTCAATATTTGTACCAGAAACCTGTAACGTTTCACCAACTTCATCAGCACATTCTACGTCGAAAAACTTTACATTGCCGCCACAAACACAAATCATTGAAAAGTTGAGATTGGCACCACTCGAATTCAGTCAAGTAAGTAATTTCAGTAAAACTTTACCTAATTTCAAGGAAATTTGATGTTAAATAACTATTATCTTAAAGTATAGTGCAAAAATTATCGTAAAATTTTCAAGTCCCGGAACTGGAAAACTGTTACAAAAGGAACACTCTTTTGGTCTATATCTTATTGATCAGGTTAGTTAACAAAAAGGATTTTATATTATACACAAGTTACTAAGGAATGCTTTCTTTTGTCAAGGAAGTGTGAAAAATATTTACGCTTTCAAAGCTCAACAGATATCGACAAATATAATCATGTAATGGTGGAATTGTCTCCATTTCTTTTACGTCAGTTATGGAATGTACATCCAAGTAGTGGATTATCCGAAACGATGATATTTGAAATTAATTGGAAGGTAAGAAAAATCATTGAATACAATTCCTCTAAAAAAAAAAAAAATTATTTTATTTGAAAATAACTTTTTTTCAATTCAAGAACGAGATGTTTTTGTTTGTTCGGATAAAGGAATGGATTGGTATAAAAAAGTCTAAAGTTCTTTGTCAAGTTCTTGGCAATAATACAGAATCTGATTATTCCGAAATTATTGAGAGAATTGTTGAAGAATTAAAGATATTAGGAGATGATGCTTGTTAAATCCAATTAGTTGAGAATTTGCATTTAACGTTAATAAATTTTCTATTATCATCAAATTCGAGTTGACCAAATAACAAACATGACGTAAAAT